TGATGATCATAATAATCAAAGCACGATTTTGATCAATCGATCAATCGATTTTATGTGTTTTGTTTGGATCGATGGCCACTCATTATCTTTTCATCGTTAAAATCCTTATAACTCTGTCTCTCTCTGTGTGTGTGTATGTATGTTTTTTCCATCAATCAATGATGATCATAATCATAATTTTGTCTAGAAAAAAATTGATAATTATTAAAAATAACTGTAAGTTTATCACCATAATTTCTTAAAAGCTTAGTTCAATCGATTTTTTTTGTTCTTCAATTAGTTTGACCAAAATAAGATGTGATGACAAATTTTTTCTTGATTATATTGATGATGATGGTCATTCAATCAATCAATCAATCAATCGATGATGACTATAATACCATTTGAGGATCGTGCATCGATAATCAACTAAAATTGTTCATTCGATCAACTAAATCAACAAAATCAATTCATTACCGTACACATATATCTAATATATGTAGAAGAAGAATGGTTTGGCAATATTTTTTTTATTGAATATATGATTGAGTAAAATTCAAATATTGAAAACAGCAACTACTTGAATGAATGTTTCAAATCATTGGAAATTTTCATTCATTCGTTTTTCTATTTGTTTTTCAGAAAAGAAAAGATTAACGATAATAACAATAAAGTCACAACAAATTGTAAAAACAACATCACATCACAACAACAACAAAAATTATTATGTCGAATCAAATTGTAGAGAAAAAAAAATTCTGTTGAAACTTGATAAATGAAGACAATGAAAACCTATTCAAGACATCATCATCTCTTTGGAAGAAAGAAAAAAAAACTTTTCCTCGCCTTTTCTTTCATGATGTGTGTGTGTGTAGACATTAATTTTTTCGTGAATCACAACATTTCATTCATTTCAAAACAGCCAGAATCTTGTCTTCGTTTTTTTCTCTACTTTTTCGATTCTGGAGCCAGGAAATTTGAAATTATTACTAAAAATAAACAGCCATTATTATAGTTATTTAGTTACTGTAGTTTTTTTTTTTTTTCTTGGCTACATTCATTTCATCTATAGTTTTCAACAAAAATGAGCAAAAAAAAAAATTCTTGATAATCCGTTGATTAAATCGATGCTACTGATTATGACGATGAAAGCTAGGTGTGTCACCAGAATCATAACAATATTAATCATTGGGCTATAATATTCAATTTCAATTTTGAAAAAAAATTCTAGAAAAAAAAGTGTCGACATTGAATGATTGACGATGATATGGTTTCAAGAAAAAAAAGTTAACGATCTAGACGACGACGACGACGACAACAACAACAACTACGATCATTATTATATGGACTTGTTTTCGTTTTCGTATAATTTTTCTTTTCAAAAATGAAATATTTTTCACTCAAACGAAAAAAAACGAAAAATCTACGACATTCAGTTGATAATTTCTGTTTTCTAGCAATAACGAAAGAGAGAGAGAGAGAAAGAGAGAGAAAAACATTTACGAATGTTGTGAATATCAATTCTGGAGAATTGGCCATAATATTATTTCAAATTTTATTTCCATCTTTTTTTTTCTTTCTGTGATATCAGATTCCAAGTTTTGATGATGATCACCATCATCATATAATTAGTATATGTTTTTTTTTTTTTTGATTCGTGAAATGAAAATTTTAACGAATTTTACTTTTTTTTTAATTAAAAAATAAAAAACTAAATAAGAAACCAAAAAACTAGTTATCATCTGCCGTATTCGATTGCTACCCAAAAACGGATCAGACCAATCATTATTAGTATCATCACCTTGATCAGCATTATGAAAACTAGTTTTAAATTCATTCATTGATTATCTGATTATCATTAAAAAAAATTGTGTTGAAAACAATCAACTAGCAAGTGTGTGTTTGAGTGTTTTGATCATCATCATCATCATCACCATAATAATATGATTGATAATTAAAAGAAAAAAAATTCAATCAAATACTCTGAACATGAACAATTGGGATGTTTTTTTTGGCTCATTCGAAAACAAAAACAAATGTGGATCATTTTTCCAAATAAGGTATCTCTTCTCTCTCTCTCCCTCCATCACCAATATATAAATATGGCCATAATCGATGATTGGTGAACACACAAAACAGCAACACATGACATATAAATTTGAATGACAATCAAAGGTCATCATCGCCTTATAGTTTATTATCATATGTTTTTTTTCTTGATTTAATAATATCATCAAATTTGATGACAATTTTTTTTTTATTCATCAAATACAATAGATTTGCTAAAGCTAATGTTACAAAGAAATAGAAAAAAAAATCAATCGAAATAAAAATAAAGGTCATCGATAGATTTGATCATCAACAGCCAACAACAGTAGTGGGGTGGGAAGGGGAAATGTACGTATATTCGAGAAAGTTGTCAAATCAGTAACAAAAAAAACTGGATTATCCAAATATTCAATATGATGATGATAATTGAAAGTTATTTCGAAACAAAAAAAATAGAGAGAAAAAAAGGCAGAGATAAGAATTACCAAATGTATATAGGCAGCAATCAGAAACAAAACAAAACAAAAACTGACTAAATAAAAAATCCCTTAAGCTATTATGATAATGATGATTATTATGATGACAATAATAATAATGAAACATTTTATGTGTGTGTGTGTGTGTCTACGAATTTGGACACTTTTTTTTTGGTAACGTCGAGAACGATGACGACAAAAGAGAGATTTCTATAATTATTATCATCATCATATAATGATGATGATGATGATAACGGTGAAAAGATTCAAGATAAGCAGTGTTTGTGTCGTGCGACAGTTTTATTTTTTGAATTGATGAAGAAAAAATAAAATAAATCCAGGAATTTTTGTTTTTATTTTTGAACAAAAAAAAAAACAATTTGAAATTGGAAAATAGATGGAAAGTAAAGCTGGAACAATTAATGATGATGATCCATAATGGTGAATGAATGAATATGAATGAAATGAAAAAACCTGATGATAATGATGATGAAAGTTTGTGTGTGTGTGGTTCGTGTTATTAGATGAAATTGAGATCAAAACTTTGTTTTTTTTTCTACTACTACCGATATTATCATCATTATAAGCTATTATGGAATGGCTGAATGATTTTGTAACACTTTTTCGAATCATTCAACCATATGGACTAAATATACAAAAACAGCACAACCAGATATGTGGCCAAAGCAGCAAAAAAAACTAGACAAAAACCAGAACATCGGATGATATCGATTAATAGATTGATCGAACTCTCGATATATATCTTGTTTATAACTATTCATTCATTCATTCTTATTTATTTATTTTTTTTTGCTCAACGATTATTTCCAATACAAGCTGTCGATTTAGGCAACGAAAATGTCAACATTCGATTCGATTCGAGCCAAATGAGATTCTCATTTATCATTATTGATTGAATATTGCTGTAATCAGAAAGAAAAAGAAAAATAAATGCATTTTTACATGGGCAAAAACGTTTATAATGACGATGATGATGATGATGATAATGATAAATGATGAGATAAACGATGTTGACGTTTTCCTGTTATTGTAATTTACGATGAACGTATACGTGTGTGTGAGTGGGAATTATGAAATTCAAAAAAAATGAAAAATTAACAGGAAATATGAAAAATAAATTCAAAAAATTTAAATCAAATACACAGAAAAAAATGTAACGTAATTCGGAAGTTGTTATTGTTGTTATTACCCCGTAGTAGTAATGAGAATGATGATGAACGACTATAATCGATCCAATCGATATATTGATGATGATGATGATGAATGATATGTTTTGTTCGATTTGAACGTATTCAAAAACATTCGATGTTATACCAGAAGCAACAATCCAAACACATCCAGAATTCAAAACCATAAAACCAAAAAAAAAAAATCCTTAAAGTCAACAATGAAAAAAAAAACAAACAGACCGACACCCAATTTATCATCATCAAAAATGAAAAAAAAAAAATCAAACCAGATCTGAACCCAATAACTGAATGACTGACTTTTTAAAAAAATAATAAATAAATCATATATCATTCAACAATCGATTGATCGGTTGGCAATGAATAATTTTTTTTTTTTTTGATATGAAAACAAAAATCATCATCAAAAATGTTGATTTGGATAATTAAAAACCGAAATTCAATGCAATTCATTCATTTCAAAATTAGCCTTGGGTCCACCAACCAAAATTTCTATTTGGCAATTGGTGTTGTTTTTGTTATCGGCTTATAAAAAAAAATTGCTTCGTTCAGAAATTCAATACGATCATCATCATCATCATCCATCCACGAATAACATCGATCAAATTTTCCAATCAATCAATTGATTGATTGATCGATCGATTCAATTGAATTTCGTACGACTAAATCAAACTTTGGTTCAATTTCATTGCGAAAAATGATAGCGAAAAAAAATCTCATTGCTTATATTTAGAAAAAAAATGATTTTTTTTTTTATTAATGAAAATAAGAAGATAATAATAATCATGATTAATCGAATCAAATCAATAAAAAATAAATTGATTTGAAGATTTAAATGAAAAAAAAGAATTGTGTTTTTGAAATGTAGGTTCAATACAAAAAAAAAGAAAATTCAAAATTTAAAAATTCAAAGTTGGCATAATGAGATTTGATACAATTTGTATAGGCGTTATATGTGTGTAGTAGGATCTATCTGTAAACATTTATATTACATTCATTCATTCATCTACAGTTGTTGTTGTTGTTGTTGTTTTTTCCTTGTTCCGATTAATAGTTTTTCCCGAAAAATTTTTGCAGTTTTTTCTTTTTAATTCAATTTTCATCTTCAGGTGTGTGTTGGTGTGATTCATTTTTTTGTTTTCTTTTGATAAAAAAATATAGAAAATTTTTTTTGTTATTATGATGGGCATTCTGTTACATTACAGGAAAGAAAAAATTGATATGCAAAAAGTGTAAAAAGCAGCTAAAATGAAATTCTCATTTTTTTTAGAAAGGGGTTGTGTAAAAATTTCAGTCAATTAATTTGTTTTTTTCAGAATTTTTCAGAAGGAATTAAAATTTCAATTACACAAAAATAACACCCATATAACATTTAACAGGTGGGAAAAAAAATTCATTTTGTACAAAAAAAAAATTCTCGTAGCTGTAATAGTAGTAGTAGTAGTGGGAGTAGGTGTGTAATCATCATAATATAGATTGCCTTATTTGAAGTTCAAGTGTCTTTCTATTACAAATGTAGATTTACAAATCATATATATGAATGAATGTGTGAATGAATGACAAAAATTTTTTTTTTTAAACAAACAAGCAAAAAAGAAATAAACTGTAAAAGAAATTGGATCAAGACATTATTTTTTTTATTATTAATATTGTATTTTATACATGAAAAAAAAATGAAAATGAAAAGAAATCAAGTATTTCAAAAAGAGACACAAGAGTGTAAATGAGGACGACCAAGAATGGATTGAAAAAAAAACATCAGTGAAAAGTGTGTGTGTGAGAGAGAGAGCAAGATTTATTATATCACAAGAGAGTACATAAATGTGGTAGACAGAAGAGAGAGAAAGAAAGAAATTGCAGAGCAAAATTAAGGCCATTCTGTTGTTTGTTTGTTTGTTGTTGTTATTACGTCACATGGAACAATCGATTTTAGATTCAAATTTCATATTATATAAAGGTGGTAGATTCAAAAAAACATTGAGAAAGAATTTTTTCTGTTTTTTTTTGCATGGCCATTATGATGATGATAATGCAATTTTTTATGGCCGATTTCGTTTTGATTCAAATTCCTTGGTTTTTTGTTTTTTTTTGTTGTTATTGGATTAATTATAGATGGATGGATGGATTCAATTTGTTGGTTAATGATGATGATCATTTATTTTTTTTCTGATTCTTCTTTCTTAACTTCAGTAGTTGTTTTATTGTTCACATATCGATTTTGAATAATTTGATTATTAGATAATCGTACAGCCATTACAACAATAATTTGGTTTCTCTTTCTGTGAATTATAGCTCATTTCACGTACAATTTCAGCAAATACTTCATTTACATTATGACGACTTTTAGCTGATGCTTCCATAAATGGTGCATTCCATATCTGTGCTAATGTTATACCTTCCTGTTTGGATACTTCACGTTGATGTTCAATATCGACTTTATTACCAACTAATAATATCGGTACACGATCACTACCTTTTACACGAACAATTTGTTCTTTCATATTTTTAATATCTTGAAATGTTTGATGGCACGTTATTGAATATACAACAACAAAACCTTGACCATTTTTTATATATAGATCACGCATTGATGCAAATTGTTCGGTACCAGCTGTATCTAATATTTCCAGCACACAAGGACTACCATCAACTTCAATTTCTTTACGATAAAAATCTTCAATTGTTGGATCATATTTTTCCATAAATGCACCGGATACAAATTGTACGGTTAATGCCGATTTACCGACACCACCGCTACCCAATACGACTACTTTATATTCACGCATTTTGTTCTTTGTTTTATTGTTTCTCTATTCGTTAAGCACAGTGAATGAGATTAAAAAAAAGTGTGGAGAGAACAAAAAATTACAAAAAGAAGAAGCTCAGAGACAATCTTCGTCAGTACCCGTTACACACTTTATAATGAGAGATGTTGATGATGATGATGATGATGATGATGACACAAACAAAGAAAAAAAAATTTGATGAATATTTTAAAAAGAAGAAAAAAAAGAAACCAACGATGCACACATAAACAATTGACAAAGACAATTGTGTAAGTTTTGAAAAAAATGGTAATCTTGGGATTCAAAATACCACCACCAACACCACTAACAACAACAGCAACAACAATAATAATAATAACAGAAAAAATGATGCCGACAAATAAATGATGATGGAAAAAATTTATATCAACTACTACTACTATATGCTACTCAAGCCAGCCAATTTCATATCAATCTTTAAAAAAAAAATTTTGGTTACTCATCATCATCATCATTTGATGATGACACATTCACCATATAAACAGACAGACAAAATGAAATGAGGAGATGCAAAGACCATATCATTGATTCATTTTGTTTTAAAAGAAAGAAATAAATCTTGTGCATATATCAAATGTACAAATCGGCGTTGTTGGTGGGTGTGTTTGATATATCATTCAAGATTCGATTAGAAATATTTTCCGTTTTTTGTTGTTGTTGACACATCAAAAATTGATAACGATGTGTGATGGTATTATTTTACTTTTAAATTAATAATAATTCAAGGGAAAATTTCCTTTGAATAATGAAAGGCAATTTTTCAATTTGAGATCACGTGTTTATAATTGGTTGGTAATTTAAAACCGTTGTTGTTGTTGCTAATTATTTAGTTGATTCTAGGATTAGAAGATCAATGTTTTTCTTTTGGATCAATCTTATTGATCGTAAAATAATTTCTAAACACACATGGTATCATCATCATCATTGCATACTCTAGATTTTTTTTTGAGGGATATAGTGAGTTGATTGATTGATTACAGATGTCTATGTTGTTGTTATTGATTTTATTTGAGTATGATGATGATGATGATGATGAGATACTCATCCAAATGACAAATGTCGTAATTTATTGATTATACAAGCAAAATAATTTCAAAATATGAGTAGGCGAAGTAGATGTCCGATTACAATTTACGATGATGGTGATGATAAGAACAAATTGATTTGATTCAAAAGAAAAAAAAACAATTTGAAGAAATTCAGCAAAACAGAGCAGAAAATTCTAATAAAAAGAAAATGTGGACAAAATGATAAAAACAGAATGACTTGATTATTTGAACTATGGATTTTTTTTTTTAATAAAATGGACGAGGTATTTAGTAGTTTAGATTGCCAAACACATCATCATCACCATTCACAAATAATTCGTCAATTTTTTTTCATCGTCAAAAGCATACACACATACACACACACACACACACACACATCTTTTCATTGTGTTTTTCAAATATGCAACATGATGTTGATTGAAATGTTGAAAATTTAGCCAAACAAAAAAAAACTTTGACGAAACTAGAAAAAAATGAATGAATAGATTGTCAGATACAGTATGTATTAGTGGAAATAAAACTGAAAAAAAATAAAAACGACAAAGATGTTTTTGGATGATGATAATGATGAACACTACTACCAAAAACAACCACCACCACCACCACCACAAAAAAAAACAAACAACCACCGATGAAAACCGAAACGTTTGAATAGAAAAAAAAATGGCAATCGAAGTTTATTTTTCTTCGTCGTTGTCGTCTTCTTCGATGAAATGATGATTGCTTAAGTTATTATGGTTAGTTTCTGGATGATGATAATAATATTTCAAAGTCGTTGATGATGATGTTGTTGTTGTTGTTGTAGGTTATTCTTATTATTATTGTAAATGGATGGATGATGTCTATTTTATCTGTCAATCTATCTATCTATCGTCGTCGTCGTCGTCGTAGTCATCATCAACAGTCGACAAAAGTTGATTTTATGATTGCGACTTTCAACAAAATGTAGACGTATCCAAATCACATACACACACAGGTATATCATGTATACACACACATATAAACATTGATTATTTTATTCTTTTTTTGATGATGATGATGATGAAGATAATGGCGTCTTAGTTTGTGTATGTGTGTGGACAAAGCTGATGTTAAATGTACATATTGCGCATTCATCAATGATGGTGGTTTTGTTTTGTTTTTGTTTTTCTTTCGGTCGGTTTGATTGCAATGTAGATTTTTGTTTTTGTTATTGGGTGCTGTTGTGGTCGATATTATTATTTTTTTGTTGATAATTTTTTGTTGTTGGTGGTGGATAAATATATAGATTGCCGTTCGTTATTACATTTTTTTTTCAATGATTATTTTTGATTATAAATCCAGAAAAAATGAGTGTGTGTGTGTGGCTTTTTCTGGTTGAATTGTGATTGCCGTCAATTGGATTTTGTATTTATATTTTCCTTTGCGTTTGGGGTTAGCTGCTTTCACTGCTATTGCTACTGATAGTCGTCGTTGTCGTTTTTTGATGTTATCATTTATAGCTATGGTTATGATGATGATGATGATGATGATGATGGATTTTTATATGTTTAATGATCCACATAGCATCCGAAATCTAATCGGAAATAATAATAATAATAATCAAACGATACCGGAATCAATAAAGAAAATTGGGTTCCAAAACATGATGTTGATTGAAATGTTGAAAATTTAGCCAAACAAAAAACTTTGACGAAACTAGAAAAAATGAATGAATAGATTGTCAGATACAGTATGTATTAGTGGAAATAAAACTGAAAAAAAATAAAAACGACAAAGATGTTTTTGGATGATGATAATGATGAACACTACTACCAAAAACAACCACCACCACCACCACCACAAAAAAAAACAAACAACCACCGATGAAAACCGAAACGTTTGAATAGAAAAAAAAATGGCAATCGAAGTTTATTTTTCTTCGTCGTTGTCGTCTTCTTCGATGAAATGATGATTGCTTAAGTTATTATGGTTAGTTTCTGGATGATGATAATAATATTTCAAAGTCGTTGATGATGATGTTGTTGTTGTTGTTGTAGGTTATTCTTATTATTATTGTAAATGGATGGATGATGTCTATTTTATCTGTCAATCTATCTATCTATCGTCGTCGTCGTCGTCGTAGTCATCATCAACAGTCGACAAAAGTTGATTTTATGATTGCGACTTTCAACAAAATGTAGACGTATCCAAATCACATACACACACAGGTATATCATGTATACACACACATATAAACATTGATTATTTTATTCTTTTTTTGATGATGATGATGATGAAGATAATGGCGTCTTAGTTTGTGTATGTGTGTGGACAAAGCTGATGTTAAATGTACATATTGCGCATTCATCAATGATGGTGGTTTTGTTTTGTTTTGTTTTTCTTTCGGTCGGTTTGATTGCAATGTAGATTTTTGTTTTTGTTATTGGGTGCTGTTGTGGTCGATATTATTATTTTTTTTGTTGATAATTTTTTGTTGTTGGTGGTGGATAAATATATAGATTGCCGTTCGTTATTACATTTTTTTTTCAATGATTATTTTTGATTATAAATCCAGAAAAAATACGTGTGTGTGTGTGGCTTTTTCTGGTTGAATTGTGATTGCCGTCAATTGGATTTTGTATTTATATTTTCCTTTGCGTTTGGGGTTAGCTGCTTTCACTGCTGTTGCTACTGATAGTCGTCGTTGTCGTTTTTTGATGTTATCATTTATAGCTATGGTTATGATGATGATGATGTTGATATGGATTTATATGTTTAATGATCCACATAGCATCCGAAATCTAATCGGAAATAATAATAATAATAATCAAACGATACCGGAATCAATAAAGAAAATTGGGTTCCAAAATTTGATAAAAAAAATATGAAAATATTTTTTTTTAGTAGCCGATGATGATGATGATGTTGTTGATTGAAATGGAATATCGTAACGTGTGGTGGTGATTTCATTTGTAACAGAAAGAAAGAATAAATAAAATTACAAATTTTTTGTAATTCAAAATGAAAAAAAAAATTCTCTAGAATACATACAATTTATCTGCTTTTGTGTGATAGTATATATCATCATTCATATCTCAAAATTGAAGTATTCGATTCGAATCGATTGTCATCCGATATATCGATTATTCGAATATCGTTTATATTAAATGTTAAATTCTTGTTTGATGTTGACCTAAAAATATAATAAACACAAATCATCATGTGAAAGGATTAAAGAAAAACACAAAAAAAATTAATGATAATGAACAAATATTAAAATCATCATCATCATCATTGCTAATAGCAACACAACAATAACGATGATGAAAGTGGAAAAATATTGTGGATAAATAAATAATCCTTAACCAGAAAAAGAGAAAAAAAGATTTACGACAATTTTTTTTTGTCGGATTTATTCTTTTATCTTTTATTGGATGGATATTTTTTTTTCTTTTATCCTCCCCCCCCCACAACACACGCACAAAAAAATATAAATATAAACAAAGGAAGTTGTCATTTGAATGGATTTTTTTCTTTTTCTTTTTTTTACTGGTTGTTGTTATCATCATCATTATCATCGTTGTTGTCACCGAAAAAAAAATTTATGGCAACAACCTATCACACACATACACACACACATACCAGGAACAAATATTTTCAATTAGGTTATTGAAATCATCTTCATAAAAAAAAACAATGAAATGGTAAAAAAAATGTCAAATATCTTTTTTGAAGAGAAAAAAAAACTCGAAAATCAAAATTGATTCTTTTGTTTTTGTAGAAAAATTCGCAATGATTGATGGATGGTCATTAAGATGTTGATGAATTTGTTTTATATATAAAAAAGAGAATCGAAAACAATAACAACAACAACAACAACGATGATGACGACAACAAAAACTCACTATTTAATGACCACCGGTTTATTTTTTTTTTTAATGTTCGTTTCGGTATGCAGATGATAATGATTCGGTAGCTATTTTGGATGACTTTAAATGCATGGATAGATGATGTTTGTGTTGTGTTGCTTTTAAACCAATGAAACAAAACAAAACAAAACAAAAAAAAAAAATATTTCAAGTCTGTGAACAATTATGGTTGTATTTTGTGTGTGTGTGTGTGTGTCGAAGGTCGAAGGTTCACACATACAAAATTCTCAAAAAATAAATGTTCGACACAAACAAAGACGTGACACCAATGTGTGTATATGTGTGTATGAGTATGTGACCTCGGTACACATTCATCATATATACAATATGTAGCTTGAAATGAACAAAAAAAAACTAAGGTCCAAAGATCCTCAGGCACTTTTTATGCAGTGTTGCATATACAGATGTTTTACATAAAAAAATATGTACAAATTGATGGTGTCATACGGTCGACGTGTTGTTGTTCGGTTGGTTGTTTTCAAACACCCAAAATAATAGTGATTTTATATTCTATGCATAAAAAAATGACAAAAGCTTCTTCTTTTCTTTATTTTTTTCATAGAATATTTTTCAATAATAATAATAATAAACAATATATTATGATCAATATAATAATCAAGAATAAATGAGAGCAAAGAATCACATAAACACATACAAACCATAAATGATTTGTTGATAAATCCTTTGTGTAGTCGTCAATCGTCATCAATTTTTATAAATTCTCAAATATAAGAATAATGGCTTGTAAGCATGTGGATTCTGAATTTTTGCTGTGTGTATGTGTGTGTTGTATGATGTTACTGGTAGTCGTGGCAGTCGTCATACAAAATAGCAGCTGACTGTACATATTCAGAATATATCACACATTAAAAACAAAAAGAATATACGAATTGAAATTGTCCAAAAATTATTTTGTTGTTGTTGTTGGAAACGTTTACGGCTGACGATGTAAACACACACACACACACACACACAATATGAATAAACGTCCAACTTCGAATGAATGAATGAACCACTATCATCTATTGATGGAACCAAAAAAAAAAAAAAAATTTAAACAAAAGCCGATTGTATCCATTCACACACACACACACACACTGCTACTACCACTATTCTTTAAACATATCGTTTTGTTTATGCTACTATGCTTTGCTTGTATGGATATAACAGATTTAAATACCGCTACCATCATTATTATTGTATCATTATTCTCTTTTGATTAGATCTGATGATGAAATAGTAGCAGTATAGTGGAAAATAGACACACAATACATACATACATTTATTTCATCTCTTTCTTATTTCAAAATCCACAATTATTGAATGTCTTTCTCTCTTTTTTCTTTTTTTTTGCCAATGGATGATTTCAAGTTCTAAAATAATAATAATATATGACAAACGACGAAGAAGAAAAAAAATCTATTCGAATCTTGTTTTTTTGTTTGGCTGTTTCAACTTTGTATTACTTGTATTTTGTTTGGTGTTTTTTTTTTCTTTCACCAATATGATATGATGATCATCATGCATCATCTTGTACTGAAATAAATGATGATGATGATGATGGTTATTAGATGTTTTAGCGTCTTAGTTTTTGTTTTTATTTTTATTTTTGAATCCGAATTCGGATGTGTAGATTGAAAGATGGGAATGAGTCATGCTTTGAGTTTTTTTGTTGTTGATTATTCGTTATATATACAAGTTTTATTATCATGGTTAATTTCTATATTCGATTATTATTCAGGATGCTGACCATGGTGGCTTCTGTCTGTTTTGCCTCGAAGCATATATAAAGTTAAAGTCGATTGTTGAATTGAATTAAATATATAGAATAACACATAATAAGCCTAAATAGGAATGGGAACAAAAAAAACTTTTTATTCTGATGCCTGTTGCTTGTCGTCATGCTGATCATTGATCATTGAGCATTGATTTTTGATGAAATTGCCATTGAAATGTTTTTCTTCATGATGACGGGATAATTGTGATTGATCAAATGAAAACAAATATTTTTTTTTTCTACATCGAATGATTGATTTCATATTATCATTTTTTTTTTCTCTCTCTCTCTCTCTCATTCATTGCTTCCGTTTAAATAGACTTTGATGATGATGTTCAAATAGTGGTCATGTATATACTAAAAAATACATTCGATATTTGAAAAAAAAGAAAAAGAAAAATGCAAATTCAATTTACAATTTTTTTTCTGCTTTGTTTTATTCATATCATCATCATCTTAATCACATTCAAGATCTTTCATCGAATCATGCTGTTGATGACCACATCACATTTTTTTTTCATAACCATAAACGCAAATGTATTTTAATATTTTCACATATCATCATACCAAAAAAGTTTTTAGGTCATCATGAGAAATTTTCATGTGAACTTATGGAACATACACACACACACACACACACACACAAACACATCGAGACAACAATTCCGTTAATCAACATTAAAAGTCATCATTTTGGTCATTTAATTAACCACTTGAACATTGGATGCATTTTTACAATCATTTAAAATTTAAATGAAACACATTGTACGCAATCTGTCGGTGATTATTACAACTATGTTGTTGTTATTATTATTTAAAAATTATTGGCTTCCAAAATTGATCACATTTCACTCGGAAATAATTGGAAATCATTTCATAATGATTTGAATCTAATGCCATAAATGATACACCACTGGATTGATCATTTAGATCGATTGCTTCATTCCATTCGATTGTTTTATCACCATTTTTCAATGCATTTGGATGTCCTGTCCATGCGAATCGTGTCCATGCATTAATCATATCATTACTTAGTTGAATTTCACTTTTTGAATATGCATTATGATTCATGGGTACCATAAATAGATAAGCAACATCTTCACCATGACAAACACCTTCCCAACCATCGCCGCTAAATGCTCCATTTGATAATGGTAACATTAGCCGATATGAATAAAATGTATTGATTGTTGAATTTAGACCACGTGACATATATTCACCGAATAACATTGTCGGACAAACCAGATGATAATCACCGAAAACATCGGCTATAATTATTCTGTAATGGAAATTTAAAAAAAAATATCAAAATCTTCATTCTATTATCATGGATCATACCTCATATCATCTGCATTTGATTTTTCATCCAATTGTTTCATATAAAATTCAATAACTGATTGTGTAGTTTTTTCGGATTTTTCAAATATCATCATCATCAACCAAATTGCCGTTTTAACCATAGGCAATGTAATGTTTGGATTTTTAACATTCGGATTCATTATTGATGGCACTAATTGTGAAACGAAACCAGATCCTTCATTTCGATTCACACCAAACATAATATCTACATGATTAAATTGTTTTGTTTCTAATGCTTTCACAGGCGGAATTGGCATCAATTTTTCACCATAAACAGGAATCATTAAACGTCCATTGATCAAATCATTTGTGCTTGCATTCAGAATTTCAGTGACATTTTTTGATTGTAAACATTCAATAGAAGCTGTTTCATTATATGGTTCACTATAACAATTTAATCGTTGTGCCAAACCAATCGTCTTATTTAATGCTTTATGTTTTTCACATGATCCCAAATAAGCATTGGTGGAACCAGACTGAAGAATTGCTTTGGTAAATAAACCTTTTGTTAATGGTGATAAAATTAATGCCGATATTGACATTGAACCAGCCGATTCACCAAATACTGTCACACGATTTGGATCGCCACCAAAATGACCAATATTATTATGTATCCATTGGAGGGCTAAAATTTGATCATATAATCCTTGATTTCCAGGTACATTATCCATTTCAGTATAAAGAAAACCAAATGGTCCAAGACGATAATTAATCGTGACAACAATAACATTACCCATTGAAACCATATAGCTTGGATTGTAAACATCATCAAATATTGAACCACCAATAAATGAACCACCATGAATCCAGACCATAACTGGAAGATACATTTTTGGTTGATGTTCCGGTTTATAAACACTAAGATAAAGACAATCTTCACTCATTGATTTCGCATCTGAAGGAGGTCGTTGTGGATCACAAACAGTTCTTATATATTTACCCGGTTGTGGACATGCATCACGTTTTTCAATAGCATCATAAATTCCAGACCAATTTTCAACAAATTTTGCTTTTTCAAATCGTTTTGCATTTCCTATAGTCAACATCAGGAAAAAAAAATCAAATTAGAATGGACTTAATTTAGTAAGAAAAAAAAATAACTTACCATAACGAATACCTTGATAAATATAAATGCTGTCACCATCATTTAATTGTGATTTATAGCCACGAACCTGACCAGAATCAATATTGATAATTGGTGCATATTCAATACCGTACACAGCGTAAAGAATAGACAGAAAAATTAATAAACGAATCATTTTTTTTAGATCCATACAAAACAAAGAAAAAAAAAAATCCATTCATTTTTATATCCACGGAAAAAAACCCAATTGATTTTTTTTTTCATTGTCAAATCATCAAATCAAATTGAACAAACAAACAAACAAAAAAAAAATATTTCATTAACATCTTAGTTACCATGATATTTCGATATGGATTAAATTAATAATGATGATGATGATGATGATTGTGGCCAATTTAATAATCTGAATGACATTGATCATCTATTGTCTATTTTGTTGATTAGAAAAATTGTTTTTTTGCTTCTTTTTATTATTTCAAAAAAAATGTTTATAACAATTCTTATAAATGTGATAATAATATTTTGGACAATCATAATCATTATCATCATCTTGGATATCATCGGATGGATTAAATATAATTTTGGTTAGTGGATGGATTTGAAGAACAAATTAAAATGTGTAAAAAGAAAATCAGAGAGAAAGAAATGAATAATTAAAAAATTTTTGACCGATTCGATTGGCACTGAAATGTATTCTTAATTATTTGTTATTAATTGTTTAAGCTTTTTCAATATAGTATCAATCTTATTCTTTTTGTCACGTTCATTTTTGGATAATGCTGAAAATATTGTCTTTTTATTATCACCACGTACTAATTTTTCCAATAAAATTAATGCCGTCTGTGGATTCACACGTAAATAACGGGATTCATTTTTACCATATTCAGCAAAATATGTACTCCATGAATCGAATTCAATGAAAAGATCCATTGTTTGTCGTAGTTCAGCAAAACAGGATTGTAATGCACCTTCTTCGAATTCTTTAACCGGTTCACTACCGGCAAACATTTCACATTGCATTAAATCAAGATTGAATTGTTGTAGAAAACCATGTGAAATGGCTTTTACATCATCTTCCAATAATATATTCAATAAACGTGATGAAATAAATTTACATGCTGATAGGCAGGCAGTTTGAGCAACTTTTGATGGAAGATTTGTGAATGCTTCGAATGTTGATTTTAGAAAAGCCATCAAATCAAGAATATAACTGGATGCTTTACCCGGTGAATCGGATAACATATAATTATAATTGGCGAGAGAGAAAAATTCTTCAATTTTATTATTCAATTGAATATAGATCTGTGATTCAGCTTCGGATCGGGAATCTTTAAACATTGTACGACCTTGTAATCGTGCTAGATGTGATTGTGATGCCGGTTCCGATAATGATAATGAATATTTAAGACGATTTGATGATGTAAAATTATCCGATGATTTTTCCTTAGTATTTTTACGATGAATCAATTCGGAAATGAACACTTCTAATGCAATGCTTGATTCTTCTAGATAATTTGTATTGATTGATATTTGTATCAATTGTAATAGGCCTAGATTTGGCTTTTTAATTAGACTAGAAAGTGAATCGCTCAATGTTCTTGTCAATAATAGATTGGTTGATTTTCGCACAGTATCTTCTTTATCACTATCACTAAGATTTAAATCTTCAATAAATTTCAAACAAACAATGATGAATTCTTTAACTTTTTTATACACTTGTGGTACAAATAGTGAGAATGAAAATCGTTTTGGAAAAGTATCCATTTTTTGTATGGTATCATCATTATCATTGAACATTTGTAATTCATCACCATTCAATTCGTTGAAATATTCATTAAATTCACGTATATTGTTCACCACCAATGGATGATAAGTATCGGAATCGAAAATTTTTCGAAAGACTAGTGACCATTGTTTGAGAAGAATATCCGTATACAGTTGTCGAAGTTCGACCAATAATTTCATAATCGATTCTACGGCATAACCATAATTGTGTGTAGTTTCACAGAATAACATTAACATATTTTTCATGTATAACATTTGTTCAGAATCCTGACATAATGTAGCTTGAAAATGAATCGATTCAATCAATGATTTTATAATATCATTCCAATTTTCTTCCAGATATTCTTTCGTAACCAAACCATTCGATGTATTCAATAGATGATCTTCGATGACAAAAAATCCGACAACACCGAATAAATAATTTTTAAAATTTTCTCGATTAAAAACATTTGTAATACTAGCAGCAGCAGCAGCAGCAGAAACTGATAATGATTGTGGTGGTGTAATTGAAAATGATTGCAAAATAAGACGTGCCTGTTGTTTTCGTTGTTGTCGATAATATGATTCAAACTGACCACGTGCACCAAGACAACCAAATATATGTAGACAACGATAAACCGGGCTAAAATCGACTAAATCAGTTGCACTTAATTCTTCTTGTATCATCATCATGTAATCATCTTCATTATCTGAATTGATACCATTATTATTATTATTGTCATCATCATTTTGATTTAATCCATTTATTTTATCACCATTTGATGATCGAATGTATTTTGAATGATCAATATTTTTATCACGATTATTCAATGTTGTAGTTGTTGATAAAATCATAGCAAAATCCTTAGATTTGTAACGAATGGCCGTATTTTTCATTGCAATTTCACCAATTTTAAATGTCAATTGACGAATATTTTCAAGAAAATCTTTTAAATCTTTCATTGATTCTTTTTTAATTGTTTCGCGTATTTTAGGCACACGTAAACACATTGTTTGTGCAAAACGATATTTCTTAAATTTAGACATATATAATCTTTCAAATTGTTCCAATGTTTTCAATGCTGAATAATACTTTTTTTCATTCATCTGTTGGTCAAGTTTAGAAAATGTTTCCAACATTGGTAAACATTCCTGTAAATATTCGATTGCTGTTTTTGTATTACACAATACACGACGATATTTTATCAATTCATCGGCTTTTCGTTGAATATTTTCCGATGATTTCAATAGTTCATGATTTATTTGATTGATTTCACTTTTTAAATCCTGTGCTTGTGGCCGTACTTTAAGCAATTCATGTATACAATCAACAAATCCTTGATAATGACAATTACACATTCTTTCAATGTCTTTATCATGATTCTTGATACGCATATCAAGTTTTTCCATAAAACGATCATGTTCATCGCCATCATATATTGCTCTGTGTTTGTAAAAAAAAAAATAAAAGAAAAAAACAACAAATATTAGATTTATTAAAATCAAAAATTGATTCATAACAATTGGATTGTATTGGCAGAAAAAAATCCAGCAAAAAAAACCTTAAAACCAATGCTATTGTACTGGCATCCGAAGATTCCAATTCCAATAATAAATGATCAAATTTTGTATCCGAACGAAATAATGATTTCGAAATTGAATTTGATGATGATGATGAGGATAATGTGATAGCTGTCGTCGTCGTCGTCGTTGCTGTTGTTGTGTTTATCATTTTTTAAAACATTTATTATTCATATCATGTGAGGAAAAATTGAATCAAACAAAAAAATGGTCAACCAATGAAATGGAATTTTTTTTTTTTGTTTTAAATTAACCGAAAACATTCGAATGATGATGAGTTAATATATATATAACTGTAAACAACCAATCGTATACACACATATACACACAAAACACATACACTATTTGTGTGGATACCAAACCCAGAAACGAAAAAAAAAAATGAAATGAAACCAGATCCAATGGAAAAATCAAATCAGCTGTAATTTATATAGAGCACACACACATACAACACACAAAACACGTACACACAAATAGGAATGCAATAATATCGAACGAATCTCGATGTAAATAAATAAAAATATAAATCGAATATATATACTAACCGAATTGTTGATCCCAATTGAAACACTGGATCCATTTCAATTTCAGCAATATACATGTCGATACGACGTTCTTTAATTTCATATTCAAAATGATCATTACAACAATTTTGATGATTTGGATCCATTAAACGTTTGGATTTTTCTTTTAAATCTCTTAAATCAGTTATTGAATGTGATAGACCTTTTTGTCGTTGTTTTATTAGAATATTTTTTCGATTATTATTATTATTATTCAATGGAATATTAATAATTGGTGATAATGACTGTTTATTATTCATTAATATTGATGATGATCGTTGTTGATCATTCTTATTGTTGTTGACTTGACTAGATCATTTTTTGGCTGCTGTTTATGTTGATTTATATTACGATTATCATCATCAATATTCCATCGTTCACCATTGTTTATAATACTATTGTTTGATAGGTGTTTCTCAACATTATTATTATTGTTAACGTTTGTTTTTGATATTCGTTGATGATGATGATGATGATTATTATTATTAAAACGAGATGGTGAATTATTTATAATAAGTGTTGTATTATTATTATTGGCAAAATTTTTTGGTGATCTAAATTGATTATTAAACATTCGATTTGTTTGCATTTGTGATGTCGTTGATGATGATGATGGACTATTGTTGTTGTTGTTGTTGTTGTTGTTATTGTTATTATTACCACCACCACCACCACGTATACTCCAACTACTTTTAGATAAAAATTTCTGATTCATTTTCAATAATGATGACATTTTGTTCGTTTGTTCATTAATAATCAAACAAACAAACGAATGAATGGATGAATGAATGAAAAAAAAACAATTTCGAATCAATGGACGAAAATCATTCAACAAAATGATGATGATGATGACGATGAAAAAAATGATAATTTTCCCTGAGAAATATGAATCGATTTCATAGTAAATGTTGTTGACGTTTTCAAGTAGAAAAATGATAATGATGATGATGAAGATGAAAATAAAAAAATTTTCCCGATGAATACGGTGATATTGATGAATGAACAAATAAAGAAATTTTTTAAAAAAAACTTTAAAAATAATACAAATAATGTCCACGACGTTTATGTTTTTTTTTTTCGTTCCTAAATGGCCACGAAGTTGTTGTTGTCGAAGTTTTTTTCTCTCTTTATTATTATTATATACTCACCAAAAAAAAGCTCGATTTGTTCGATGATGATTTCAACTTTATTGTTCACAATACCACCACTACGACGATGACGACGACGACGACGATCCTGAATAATACCATTCATGTACGAACAAACAAACGAATGAACGTAACAACCAACCACCTTTTTTACACCAAAGATCCTTAAAGCGTGAAAAAAAGCAGCTGAAATCAACTTGTTTGATGACGATTGAATACACTGATCACAAACAACAAGTATTTTTTTTTGGCATTTTTGGCCCACTCTATCGTTCGTTGATGTTTGTTTGTATGGATCGTTGCCAGCCATTAATGGCAATATTCCAGAGGTATACAAAGATAAGAATTTGCTTATTTTCTTAATTTAATCGATTATAATAGTACATTCAAATATATGTTTGATTTATTTGGCCTGTTGAAGATTTTTTCTTTCCTTTACCATCAAATCCAAATGATGATCCATCAGCAAAAAAAATTGATCAAATTTAAAATTTTACAATTGATTCCTGATTGTGTTCCAAGATGGCGCTCTTCTTACATAAACAATCTCATTTGGTATTTCTTGTTTATTTTCTGTTTGATTGTTTCGGACATTCGAAAGAGCATTGTGGATCATGAAGATTCTGGTTCCATTAATTCAAGATAACGTGGATTTTTGTCAATTAATCATATGTCAAAGCTGAATTTTTTTTCTGGATTCATTCAAATTGGATACCGTTGAAATACCCAGAGTTTGATCACTGTCTATCTATCACTCACTCTCATTTGATCATTTATATTGCGTCTTTATTTTTTATTTGTTATTGTTTCTGTCAAATCATCCATTGTCTAAAATCATTTTTTTTGTTTTGTTTATTGTCTCCATTTTCGTACATCTTTATGTGCGTGTTTATATAAAAAGAGTTTCAAACAACGAACCAAAAATGTATGTAAAAAATAAATCCTGTCATACGGGTTCACATCAGGTTTTTTTTTGTTCAATTTCTCTATCTTTTCTGAAATTTCCAATTCAATTTATTCAATATCCTCTTTTGAACATCATTAGACTTTCTCTCTTTTTTTTGTACTTCATTTACCACTTTCTATAAATTACCGTTTTTCATATCAAAAAATCTTGTTGAAACTTGTCCACAATTTACCGTATACGTGTGTTTTGTTTATTTGATGAAAATTTCCGCGTTTGATATATATAAAGATATATTATTATTATTTTGCGTGTGTTTATTTGACCTGGTTTTGATTTTGATATGAAATTCTTTATTTTTGAAATTCTTGGCCTAGATTTGTTATGTTTTTAGCATGTGTAGTGTGTGTGTGTGTGTTATGGTGATTCTTATAAATTAATTTATTCGTTTTTTTCTACTACTCTCATTCTCAATATTTTAATTGTATTCTTAATATTTCAATGATTTGATTTTAAAAAGACGACGATTTTTTCTTTTAATTGATTATTATTAATTGATTGATTTTTTTTCAATTTTCCTTATTCAAGATTTTCATCTTTCTCTCTTCAGATAAAAATTAGCGCCTAATTCTCTCATCAAACATCTGAAATAAAAAACATAAATGATGCCTGGTGATAATGATAAAAAAATTGAACGGCAGCCACAAAATTCACCAAGAACATCGAATAATGAAATTTTTTTCCTTGAAACGAATGATGATGAACCATCATCATCATCATCATCATCGATGAAATCAACTGTTAAACGTGAAAATGGTTTCCTAAATGATGAAGGCGAATTTCATAAAGAATTCCATGATGCTGATGATAATGGTGGTGGTGGTGGTGGCCATCATCATGATGATAATAAACGACAACGTCCGGAGCCATCATCATCATCAACACAATCGTCATCGACTACTGCTAATAGTCCCAGTGGTTCCGGTTCAAATACAATGCCAATATTTGGTATTACACCACCGAATTTTGTTTCATTTGAAGAGATTATGAAAACAGCTAATGAAATGAGCCGTATGGCATTGGTCAATGAAATTGTATTTAATCAGGATTTTAAATTGGAACGTAAAGAAGATTCATCATCATTATCAAAACTTGAATCTACTGTACGTGAAACAATGAAAAAAGCATTCTGGGATATATTGGAAGAACAATTGGCAGAACAGCCCCCAAATTATAAACAGGCTATATCATTATTGAATGAAATAAAGGAAACATTACTGTTATTTCTAATGCCACAACATGTACAGCTTAAGAATGAAATCAATGAAATATTGGATATTGATTTGATCAAACAAAAAGTTGATAATGGTATTGCTGATTTTCAACGTTATGCACAATATATATTGTCTGTATGTTCAAGACTTTGTTGTCCGGCACGTGATGAAATGATTAAGAATTTGACCGAAATCAAGGATATGATACCATTGTTTAAGTATGGATCTTTGATTTTTTTTCTTTAATTTAATTTCAAAAATTATTTCATTCTTCATCTAGAGGAATATTTGAACTTCTTGAAGTGATGCGTTTAGATTTTGCAAATTTTTACATACAACAATTCCGTCCACATATACAGCTTGCATCTGTTGAATATGAACGTGGTAAATTTAAAAATTTAATCGAAGCACATCAAAGTAAGTTATAAATTATATTGTTTTTTGTCATTGTTAATAGAAAATTTTCCTTTTTTTTGAATAGAATATCAAATCGATGTACTCGAATTTACCACCAAATGGATTCGTAGAAATTATGAATGTCTTGATCTATCCAATGAAATGGATATGAAACATTTATTTAATAAAGTATTGATTGCATCATATATTGATCTACTTCGATGTTTGAATCCATCATTCAATTGTTATATGATTAAAAATGAACAGAAAAATGAATCATTATTAGAAGATGATTATCCAGAAACATTGTTATTGATTCGTAATCGTATTGATTCGGTTCTTGAAAAAATTTTCAAAGTAACATTCATTAGTAGTGTTTTTGTCGTTACATTTGCCGCCATTGGTGAACCATTACAATCTATTAAAGATTTTCGAATGAAATTGAAAAAAGAATTGGAAGCCATAACATCGAATGATGAACAACAAAAAATTCCATTACAATATCTAAAATTGGATGATGTAAAATCGATGCTTACATCGATAGCCACACAAGTACGAACATCGATTGAAAAAGCATTGATTGATTATAAAGCACCACAATCATTGAGTGGAGAGAAATTAGATTCACTTAATTATCAGATCAATGAATTATCTACACCCGGTAATCGTATTCGTTCTGTTATGGAAAGACGTATATTGGAATTTATTGAACGTGTCATTCAATCACCACCATCACAAACTGCCGCACCGATACAGGTACCAAGTGGTCTAAGCACATTCGCCAACGAATTGATACAGATTGCAAGTGAATTTACACGTCTTGTTTCGTATAATCGTGCCGTTTATTCACCTTATTATACAAAAATCATTGCCAACATTGCCGGACAAACACATTATATTCCGCAGAATGAATTAAAATCAATTGAAAAATCATTCTATGGCTAGTCTTAATCGTCATTTACTACTATTATTCTCTAACACATATTATACTTTTGTTTATCATTTATTTCAAAATAAAAATTTTCTTTTAATGATATTACCTTTGAATTTAATAATAAAATTGTCCATCGTATTATTCAATGGTCAGATTAAGTGATTCGCCATAATGAATCGACATTTATCATCATTATTATTATTTTGTTGGATTTGAATGGAATTTAAAATAATTCAATAATTGAAATATTTAATCAATTTCTCGTTAATTAAATCAATAGCTAACAAAATAGTGTGTTTGATGATTTATAAAAATCCAATTTCTTAATAATCTGGATTGTATTTCGTTGAAATTGGCCGATAAAAATGAAAATAATCATCAAACAATTTTCATTCGGTCTTTTATTATCATTCCAATCATCAATGTTGTTTGTGAATAC